CGGTGTGCACACACAACCTCCCTGACTGCCGGTGTGCACACACAACCTCCCTGACTGCCGGTGTGCACACACAACCTCCCTGACTGTCGGTGTGCACACACAACCTCCCTGACTGCCAGTGTGCACACACAACCTCCCTGACTGCCAGTGTGCACACAACCTCCCTGTCAGCATATACACACAAGCTCCCTGTCAGCATATACACACAAGCTCCCTTTCAGCATATACACACAAGCTCCCTGCCAGTGTACACACGAGCTCCCTGTCAGTGTGCACACAAGCTCCCTGTCAGTGTACACACAAGCTCCCTGTCAGTGTACACACAAGCTCCCTGTCAGCATATACACACAAACTCCCTGTCAGCATATACACACAAGCTCCCTGTCAGTGTGTGCACACAAGCTCCCTGTCAAGTGTGCACACAAGCTCCCTGTCAGTGTGCACACAAGCTGCCTGTCAGTGTACACACAAGCTCCCTGTCAGTGTGCACACAAGCTCCCTGTCAGTGTGTGCACACGAGCTCCCTGTCAGCATATACACACAAGCTCCCTGTCAGCATATACACACAAGCTCCCTGTCAGTGTGCACACAAGCTCCCTGTCAGTGTACACACAAGCTCCCTGTCAGCATATACACACAAGCTCCCTGTCAGTGTACACACAAGCTCCCTGTCAGTGTGCACACAAGCTCCCTGTCAGTGTGCACACAAGCTCCCTGTCAGTGTGCACACAAGCTCCCTGTCAGCATATACACACAAGCTCCCTGACTGCCGGCGTGCACAGGCCTCTCTCCTGGGTGGAGGGGGCAGGCATGCGCGCTGCTCTGGGGGTGCGGGCTAAAGTCCCTTCTGCACTCCTCACGGTGACAGCAATTGAAGTGATGTGCAGTCAGCAAAGCCCCTGCGGGCATGGGTTTACCGAGAACATGGCCATGTGTACACCCGTGGCCAGCCCCGAGGAGGTGGGACTGCTCCCGGAATGCACACGTGGCAGCCGGGAGCGTGGCCTGCAGGAAGGAGCGGGGGCTGTGCTGCTGCTGACGGCATTCAGGGGTGGTGTTGGGGCAGCCTTTGGAACGGGGTCCTGGGGTGAGACCAGCCTGCCCACTCCTGCTTACCTCATGTAGGACACGGGGGCCAGCGACTTGGGCTTCGCCCACTGGTACGGGGCCTGCGGCACGGACAGGTACTGCTCGCAGAAGCCGCCCTTCCTCAGGTGCTGGAAGGCAAAGTCCTCGGGCGGGAAGTCGGAGGCGGGCGGGGTGGCGCCCGGCTCGTCCCCCGCGGGCTCCACCTTGAGCGCCACGGGGGGCGCGGGCTCCGGGGCCGTCTTGCGGGCCTTGGTGGGGACCCCGTCGCCCGGGCCCAGGCTGCCGTCGGTGGTGAGGGCGTTGATGGCCGCCACGATGGCGGCGCTGGTGTACTGGGTGGTGGTGCTGAGCCAGGTGTCCTCCGTCCCGCTGACGCGGCGGGAGCCGAGCGGCGAGGGCGCCGGGGACCCCCGGGGCGAGCAGGGGGCCTGGCTGCCATTCAGGCAGTACTTGCGCTTGTTGCAGGGGGACGTGGGCCTCGAGCCCCGGGCCCCCAGCCAGCTCTCCTCTGTGACGCTCGCCCGGGGCGAGGTGGACGGAGAATGGCGAGGAGAGCCCAGCAGGTGGCAGGCGCCCAGGCCCCGGGGAAAGGCCTCCTCCGGGTCTGTGGTCTTCGGGGACACGCAGGGGGACTGCCAGGGCGATGTCTGGGGCGAGGCGTAGGGGTAGGAGTGGCCGGACTCATAGGAGGAGGCCTCGGAGTTGCAGCTTCGGGAGGAGAGGCTGCTGGCCGGGCTCAGGCAGGACGGGTCTCGGTAGGCCTCCAGGCCGGGCAGGGGCAGCGTGGCGGTGGACGGCGAGCGCCGGCAGCTGGGAAGCAGGTCCTCCACGTCCGCATCGTGGAGGAACGGGCCGCCCGCGTGGTGCAGGCCCAGGTACGACGTGATCTCGATGCGGGGGCTCTCCAGGGCCGGAGTGCCGTTGGGCCGATTGTTACCAGAAGACAGAAAATATCCCGAGGGCCCGCCGTCCACGGCACCCCCATACCCCAAGGGGTGGCCAGCGGGAGGAAGAGCTGGCACGCCGGGCGCAGAGGGCTGGAGGTCGTGGCAGGGCCCGGGCAGGGAGGGGTGTGCCACGGGCAGAGGCAGCGCGGAGCTCACGGAGGGGGGCGCATAGCTGTAGTGCTCTGGAAGGTGAAAGAGAAGAGATGGTAAACCCCGGAGTTCAGTGGACACCAGACCTGGCACCCACCGTACCCCACAGCCCCAGACCCACACCCCTGGCCTCACCCCTGCGTCCAGCCTGCTCCAAAGCCGCCCGCCCGCCTCAGCTACTGGGTCCCTGGACGTCCTCTTGAGAGGTCTGACCTGCGACTACTGTCTTCTGCTTCTCATTCGACAATCTGGACTTCCGAGCCCAACCCAACACCTGGGTCATCAACTATATATTTTTTTCTCTTTTAAGAAATGCCACGGCAGACACTGGTGGCTCACACCTGTCATCCTAGCCACTCAGGAGGCTGAGATCTGAGGATCACGGCTCAGAGCCAGCCTGGGCAGGAAAGTCTGTGATTCTTATCTCCACTTAACCTCAAGAAAACCAGAAGTAGAGCTGTGGCTCTAAGCGGTAGAGCCCTAGTCTTGAGCTAAAGAGCTCAGGGACGGCACCAGCGCTCTATGTTCCAGCCCTGTGACCAACAACAACAATAAAACCAGCAAGCAAGCAAGCAAGATCAATCTAATATTGTGTGTTCATTCATTTATCTCTTTGGCCAACAGAAACCAAGTTCCAAGCAGTTAGGAATTTTTCCTGCCTTAATCTGGTTCACAGCTGTCTTCAGAGCCTCACAGTATGCCTGGCACAGGTAAGGGGTTTAATTTAATTGGGGGTGGAGGGAACACACCTCTCCTAGCATCACCCAGTGGGCTGAAAGAAGACCACAGGCCAAAGGCCACCTGGGCTATGCAGGAAGCCCCTCTCTCCAAAAAGCAAGCAAATGTTCATTCTGTTTCGTGGGCAGATGGTGGGTGGATGGGCAGACAGATGAAGGGCCACGTGGATGAATGGTGGATGGGTGGATGGATGGTGGATGGGTGGATGGATGGTGGATGGGTGGATGGATGGTGGATGGATGGTGGATGGGTGGATGGATGGTGGATGGGTGGATGGATGGTGGATGGGTGGATGGATGGTGGATGGGTGGATGGA